AAATAAAATTGGAGATAAAATATTAAAGTTTATTACAAACAGCAGCTTGAAATGTTTTAGTGTAATGTTACAGCTGTGAATGCTGATCAGAGAAAACTCTGTTTGTTCTGAGTTTATAGACTGAAGTGTTCCATTCATTTTAAATGATGATTAAACTCTCGTCCTTCGTTTGGAGTCATGGTATCAATACTGTTTATTGATGATCCTGTTTTTGAAGCAGAATAAAGTCCAGCAGGTAACAAGACAGCAGCTCATCTTTGTGTCCTTCACACTCGACAGACATTCAGGAGAAAGAGTTCATGTGAGACGCTGCTCAGGACCAGTGTCAGTGTGTTTGAGATGACACTCACTCACCACAGGATCTGAAGCAGGTTCCTGCTTTTAAAAACTACATTTCTAAAAGCAAAACATATTTTTACATTTACAGTTAATTTACAGTTAAAACCGTTTCCGTCAGGAGGCAAAGCATTACTTAATGTATATGAAACCACAGATCGTTATCATCATCATAACATCAACCTGACGACGTCATAATAAGCTGCTGTTCAACAGAGAGCGATAATTACAATAAACGCTCTGTGAGGTCGATGTTCACATTTTGTTTTATTTTCATAAAATAATCACAGTTTATATTCATCGTGTTAGTTTTGACACTTTGATCAAGATTCCCTTCAAAATAATGTAAACATGATGAACAGTTTCCTCCATTAAGTTTATGATTATTATTCTCTGTCATCATGTTGTTGAACTAAACTCCAACAGCCTCGTTTACATTGTTGATCAAACACTGATCTGATGAGCTGGAAGTTGATCAGTATTCATCACTGGACTGAATATAAATACTGTTTTCTATTTAGAGAGTACATTGATGAAGGGTATTTGTGTACTTCATGTACTTTAAGTCTTTCCAGCTGCAGAAGTGTTTTTCTGACACACGGTGGCGCCATGTTTTAGCTGATGAAAAAAAATGGAAACTTCTCACGTTTCCTCCACAGTCAGTGCAGAGAAACTGGAGTCGTCAGTTTATTGTTGTGTTTGAGCCAAACGGATTTTAAAGACTGAGAGTGTGAAAGAAACAGCAGCACAGAAAAGAAAAATAGATTTAGAAAAAGACGTGAAAATAAGTTCAGTGTGTATAACACTAAAGTAGAAACACACAGCAGTTAACAGGCTCAGTGAGCAGCTGGATTCTCATTTTTCACACAGACATTTTCAGGGTGCTGAGTGGAAAAGTCACAGGTACACGGCAGCTCGCTACCTGCTGCAAGTGGGGACAGGTAAGCTGTGCATGCTGAGTATTTTTTTCTGGGAAACGGCTCCGCATCGTGGCCGTTGTGCCGAGCAGTGATCGTCTGCAGCTTCTGTGACACCGATCATATGAAGTTTGTTAGTTGGTAGACGTGAGCGAGTGCAGCTTTGGTGTCTGGTTATGCTCAAGGAAATACACAGAGATCTGCCCAGTTGGTGCACGTTTCCCCTCAAAGAAACCCAGACGTCTCACCCTGGAGAACATAAACGAGCGATCGGAAGTTTGTTCATCGATCTCCTCGAGCTTCATACACGAGCGAGTGGCACCAAGAGACCAAGAGACCAGTCCCTGTGCAACCAAAGTGATGACGTCAGGCAGAGAAACAGTGAAAGCAAGTCGCGGTTCTGTCCTTTACTCAGATCCTATTTTCTGTTTTTATACAGTTTTTCCTGGATTTGATTCAATCTTAATATTAAGTGCTCATCAACTTGGATTGTCTCATTCAACGTTAGCTCATGACATCTCCACTTTTTTTCAAAACCAATTAGCATCCAATCTAACTTTATCTTTGGTAAATTTGATGAACTGGTCCTTTACATACACCAGAGTGAGATGTAGCCCTTTATATTTGACAGAACACCTGTAGTCAGTGTGTAAAGAGGTCACTGTCTTTCTGGTAAACATGCACACAGTAATGCACTGAGGAACAGGAAATAATGATGACCAAAATATATTTTTAATTTTAGGTCAGCATTTAAATAGCGGCAGCTATTACTCATACTCATACTCAGTCGCAAAGACAGAGACGTGCTTGCATATATACACTTAAGCTGAACCACACAACTGCAGCAGGACGGAGTCATTGTGCACTTCAGAGATAAATCAAGTGGTTAAAGGTAAGAAACAGAGCCCAGCTGAAAGAAGAGGAGACAACGTTAGCATGTACTTTATCTTTGTTAAACTTTACCGTGTTTCTGGGCATCATTTATTTTTATTTTGTCTGTTAAATATTGATTTTTTTTTTTAAACATTTTAGCCTTTATTTCATTGAACAGTGCACAAATAAGACAGGAAAGCAGGGACAGAGTGAAGAGGAATGAGCAGGCCTGAGATGGACCCAGACTCAGGCCTCTGCAGCACACTTTGACCTGTGGTTCACCAGCCGCTTGCTGTCTGTTAACATTCAGTGCATTTAAAAGCACTGGGCTCATCCATATATGCACTTGACTACTTGTGCATTGATTAACAGTTAACAATATGAGCATTAGACTGCACTCTCACACAGAGACACAAATCTCTATGAGGATGACAGCACCAATGCGATCTGTGTTTATTGTAACAATGTAACTACATCATAAAGGTAATATAATGACTGAATTTAATATATAATAATTTAATATATATATATATATTTTTCTGTGTTAGAGTAAAATAATATTTGATTACAACTGTTCATGAGTGATAAACTGTAGCACACTTTCACTTTATTGTAACTGTGTGAGAACTCAGTTTGTGCTTTTCTTATAGACACTCTGTGTGGGTGAAATATACGCTGCGCTGAAGGCTGTTAATGTAGTAATGTTCTATTGTTATTATTAGCATCCAAGTCAGGTGTGAGGTCATCTTTGTGGTAAAATAGTGGTGTTGATACAGTTTATTTATAGGTCAGTAGATTGCATTTGGTTTTAGAAGAGCTCAAACACTGACACCAACCATTAAACTGCAGTTAAAGTTTTATTTTCTCGTAACAGGAA